TCCCAAGTGCTGGGGTTACAGGCGTACACCACCATGCCTGGCTGCTCTTTCTCTCTCTCTCTCTCTCTCTCTCTCTTCTTCCCTCCCTCCCTCCTTTCCTTTCTTCCTTTCTTTCTGAGGCAGGGTCTTGCTATGTAGCCCAGGTTGGCCTTGAACTCACAGCGATCCTCCTGCCTCAGCCTCCTGAGTGCTAGGATCACGAGCATGGGCCACCACGCCTGGATATTTTTTTTTTCTTTTTTTAATCTTAAAACAGGATGTTGCTAAATTGCCCAGGCTGCGCTGAACTCTTAATCTTCCTTCCTCAGCCTCCCAGAGTGAACTCAGGGATCTCAGGGCTGCAACCTACCCACGCCCCCCAGCTTCTGTTAAAAAAACCAAGCCAGGAAATATAAAGAAACAAAACAAAACAAAACAGTTTTTTCTCCCCTTGGCAACCTACTGAGCTTAAAAAAGAAGAAGGAAGAGGAGGGAGAAGGGGAGGAGTGGGGGGGGAAGAAATCCATGATGTGATAGATTTCAACACCAGAATGAAGCTTCCAGTCTTCGTTCCTGGGACTCCGGCTCTTCCCTCAGAGGTTACCTCGGTTCACGTTTCCTGCGTCTCCTCCAGGAACACGGACGGTCACGTACTCACCGGGCGCCTCCTCTCGACCCTGCGCTGGTGGCGCTCAGACAAGCCAAGTCCCTGCGCAGTGCTGGCCCTTGGTCAGCGGCTGGGCAAGCGCAGCTGCATGGGCTGCCGTGAAGTGTGCCTGACCGTTTCCTCTTGGCACATTTTGGGCTGAGTCTGGCTTCTGCTTTTGTAAACACGCTGCCTGCGGCCTGTGCAGTGAGTTCACGCCCTTTAGTCCCGAGGTCGGGAGGGTGAGCTCTGTGACAGGGCTGCCCGGTCACAGGTGTGATGTTCTCAGAGTTAAGATGGCGTCACTTGTGTCAAACCTGAACCACACACATGCGTGTGCAAATGAAGCCAGGAGGTCAGGGAGGAGGGTTTATTCGCACGCTGGACCACAAGAACCATCGCCAGAACCCCAGCCTGCTGCAAGGACCTCGGCAACCCCGCACAGAGAAGGTACCATGAGGAGCGCTGCCTGTGTCCCCCTTGGGCTGGTGGCCATCCTCATTTTAAACTGCTTCGTGTGCTCCTCCACATTTTGTCTCTGAAAACTTCCCCTGGACCCACTTCCGTGACTCGCCACACAATTTATAAAGGCAGGCGTGTTCCATCGCAAGGTTCACACCCAAACAACCTGCCGGTCTTGGGGGGGCCCCTCTGAAAGCACCTCCATTCAGCAGGCGTGCTGGCCCAAGCCTGAAATCCTGGTACTTGGGAAGCTGAGGCAGGAGGAACACTGTAAACTCAAGGCCAGCCTGGGCTACACAGTGAGACCCTGTCTCAAAAAACAGCAAACAAGAAAGTATATCCACTGAAAGTCTGGGTGTGTGACGGCCTAATACTCCTTGTGTGGGGGTTGATGGACATGGAGAACATTCTAGGTTCTGCCCTCTGCTGTGGGGAAGGAGGCTGCGCTTTGGCCGACTGGGTGCTGCGCGCTGGAACGGACTCGCCCGTCCCCAGAAGTCAGAGCCGGGAGACAGCCACCTGGGGGGCCGGCCAGGCGGGCCGCAGGGCTCCTGTGTGAGGCTGCTGGCCTGGACTCGCCTCCTGGCCGCTCTGGGGAGTGACATGGGCCGGAGGTTCAAAGAAGCTGACTCCACTGTCACTCAGTGTCCAGGTGGCACTGCAGCGAGGGTGATGTGAGGCCTTGGGAGGGGGAAGCCGCCCTTCCTGCCCACCTGGGGAGGACCGGGTCAGGTGGTACCCCAGAGGTGCTGGCCGGCAAGGGCTCCAGCTCCTGGCCTGGGCCGAGACCGCGCCTGCCTCCTGCCTGCTGGCTTCTCTCCGGGCCCCTGACTGAGCCTCTGCC